CTCCCAACCTCGCCTGCGGGCGCCTCTAACCTCGCCTGCAAGCGCCTCTAACCTCGCCTGCAGAGCTCTCGTTCGCCTCAACCTCGTCTGAAGGAGCTCGACTCGAGCTCGACGGCAAAACGCCTGGACCTCACCTGATCCACCTCTCGCCTACCTCAAGCTCGCCTGATGTCAACCCCGAGCTCGCCTGATCTAAAGCTTTGACCTTGAACTCGCCTGCGTCGTCAGCCCTCGCCTGCATCGAGTTTGCCCGCGCTCCACTAGCTCGAGCTCGCCTAGACCACGTCTCAAGCTCGCTTGCTGCAACTTCGAGCTCGCCTAACCTCGTCAAGCTTGCTTACAGCTCTCGAGATCTCGAGCTCGCCGACTGGAGCTCACCCTCGCCTGAGCTTCGTCCTCGCCTGGAGAAGCTCACCTACAGGTAAGTTTGGGCTACACACCCAGATCCAACAACTACAGGGTGTTGAATATGCTTAAATCTTGCTGACATGTAAAGGAAGCATCCACCTCCTATAGTGTTAAGCTCTATGACGACATAGGGTACTATGTTTTGGAGCTTGTTGCAGTTAAACTTAAGTTATTGTTATAACTGGGGGTTATGTTACAGTGTCAATACTGACTTTACCATTGTGAAAGACTATCAACAAGGCAACACAAGGAGCAAGAAGTTTATATTCTAGTTTTCCCTCAAAAAGTAACACGAATTTTAAATATATATTAGATCAAACAATCAAAACCTGACATGCATAGTTAATACACATTAATGGAGAGAAGAAGAAGCCACTACCGTGAAGAGTCTAACCCATTGGTTGCGAATTAGAGGAACAACAAATTTGTAAAATGTCGATACAGAAGACAGCGTTATGATATATATATTATATATTATATATATATATATATATATATATATATATAACTAGTAATATATATATATATATGGAAATGTTTTTCTAAGGTGACAGTTTAGATTCTCACCTAAGGACAGCGGTCTAAAATTACATTATTCCCTAATTGTTTTTTGCGATCCGCTCACGTTGAACTTGATCTAACAGCGTTTTTAAACCCAAACACACTAATTTTGGGGTGAAACCCGTTCGTGTTTTGACCCTTCATCCACTCACCGGTAATTTTAACGTTTCGAATGAATAGAACTTTTGCACGGCTCAACAAAGGATCAAAACACGACGGTTCACCCCAAATTTGACATGTTTGCCTGTTTGGTGTTTAAGATGTGTAGATCAAGTTCGACGGAGCGGATCGCAAAAAAAAAAAAAGGAAATGATGTGATTTAGGTCGTATACTTAGGTGGGAATCTAAGGTGTCACCTTAGGAAAACATTACATATATATATATATATATATATATATTATATATAATATATATATAGGGTCGTATACTTAGGTGGGAACTAGGTGTCACATTAGGAAAACATTGACCATATATATATATATATATATATATATATATATATATATATATATATATATATATATAATACTATAAAGTTAATAATTTATATGAGATCAATAATGCTTTTTCCATTCATATATTATTAGGGGTGGGCAAAAACCGAAAAAAACCGGTTCAACCGAAAAAACCGTCCGAAAAAGCGGGCCGGTTAACCGAACCGGATTAAATGGATGAGAAGAAGACTCTAAACCGCCCGAACCGAATTAAACCGGTTTGGATCCGGTTTAAACCCCTGAACCGCCAAAAAAAAAACCGAACTGAATTTTCTAATTCGTTCTTTGTCGGATATTCATATTGCTCAAAATGGGAAGGACTTCGTCGTTCGGAATTCGGTCAAAATGGAAAGGACTTTTGGTTCGGACGAAGTCGGATGGAATAGCTTTCTTATTAGTGAGTTATCACTTGAACATTAAGCTATATAATTGCTCGGTAATTTGATTGTTATGTTTACATACATGTTTATATTGTATAGTTCCTTTTTCATTAGGCCTGCTAGCATATATGCCCGCATTAAAATCGGTGAAACCTCATATAAGCTTTCAAATTCTACTAGAGGCATGTTAAGTTGTTTTCCAAGAAATGAAAGATAACCTTTTGATTATAGTTAATTAATATTTGAATGTTACATAACCATATGTACTTGTTGATATGGTTTGCGCTCATTTCACTGATTTCGGTTTTTTGTTAGCTGTGGCAATGGTGTTACTTCAAACAAGCTCCACATTTCATTGTTTGGGGGAAAAAGTTAAGTAGACAAAATAGACAAATAATGATACTTCATCAGAAATTAATAGGCAATGATCTCAGGTGTGGGCAGATTTTTGTGAAATAGTATTAATTCGGTCCAAAACCGAAACCGATCCGAACCGATCCGAATTCGGTTGGGCCGAATATTCGGATGAAGGGGAAAAAAATCTGGATCTGGATGAGAGTTTTGAGAATTCGAAAAATTCGGATTGGATGCGGATTGAGCTTAAAACCGATCCGAACCGAATATGCCCAATCCTATATATTATGAGAACTAAAACTACCATAATATTTTTCTTTTTTTATTGAGTAGATTATAAATTGGAAAGCCACATATTTTTGAACTATATTGTAAAATCATACTTATGAATTGGGTATGGGCTGAAAGGAACTTGACCCGAGTTGAATAAATTGCAGAAAATTGAGGGAAAGTGTAAGATATTTGTCCAATAAGTGTATCAAGACTGTTCTAAACTAAAACATGTCTTATGTAATTGAATACACATCTGAATAAATGTATGTAATATACTCAAGAAGTTTCCAAAGTGTGTCAAACACGGAAACAAATACAAGAAGTGTCGGACAAGGATACATGAGTCTACATAAAGTGTCCGGGTAACTTAGTATCTAACAAACCTGAAACTGGGGTTTACCTAGTGAAGTACAAAAGACATGGTACGCCATTTGTTAGAACATAAAGATAATATAAATGGAATAAAAATTGCCAATGTTTAGTAAGGAAGACTTACATGAAAGAATTGCAAATAAAGCTGTGTAGAAAATGGACTGTGCATGTGATGATGGCATTCCAGGATCAGATCTCAAAGCAGAGGCAGGTCTCCTGTGGTTTAGTATATTCTTCAATTTAACTGAAATGCATGAATTTACAACTGATCCCATTGCAACCCACATAGCTTCGGAATCATGTTTCCACAGAATAACAAGGCCAAAGAGAGCAGCAATAAGCCATTTGCTCTAGTACCCAGCAAGAAACAAAAAAATTTATCATTAATTCGGTGGTAGGAGACAATGTTCCTTCAAACGATGAAGACAGACAAAAGTAACTAACTGAATCAAACTAAGTATGAAATGGTAGTCCCTATAATCTAAAAGGTCAATGTGAGGGAAAAAAAGTTGAAACTATTGCTCCATAAGAAACTAACTTTAATTAAATGGGAAATGTATATAAGTTTTTGTAGGAACCCAAAAATTGGAGATGCCTCCAACAAAATCCACAATGTCTAACTATAAATGTATCTATCTATTTGTATATAGGAGGGATCTCTTCAAACATTTTTCTATTTTTAGCAGATGCCCCATATCATACATTTGCAAGAAGTTCAGGTAAAGTAGGTCGCATAATTCACCACATTTCATAAATAACTTGAATACACAATGAAGTGCTAGTTTTATGATTATTCCCTAGAGCAACATCTCTCGTTATCAATGCTCCCCATGGGCCTGAGGATCTCATACAAGGACAAATTGGCAAGTTAAAAATTTTGATTTAGTAATCAGGTATCTGTTTCAATCAACTACTTGCAAAAGTCGTTCGATGATACAGACGCTATATCAATTTATTAATCCAACATGAAATTTAAAACCAATTTTCTCAATCACAGTATGTGCAGTATTAATACAGTATGTGCATTGTCTTCGTTGAATTATGAGAAAAATATGTTCCATTTGTGTATCCGTTAAAATTCTTGCAAATGTACACTCCAATGCCTTAGTATTTCTCATGCTTCACTTTCAAGCCAAATTAGAAATAAAATAATGAACAACAATATGAACAGATCAGAGTGATTATTCAATAGTCTAATTTCTCAATCCTGGTGCACATAACTCCACCTGTCCTCATGACATACAGCTCGAGGATCACCATCAAGGCGACTGAGAATCATCTATCTCATATGATATGCCAATATATGACAATTTGTTGCAGTTTGTCTTAAGTTATAAGCTGATTTCATGTGTAATAAACTACTTTACCGACTAATGTCTTTCCATAAGTAACAAACAATCATATTGTAGGATCAGACTAAAGTTGCAGCGAAAATGTAAACAAGTTTATATAATAACAGAATAAAATTAATATGCACATTAAGAAATCAAATTTTCTCTGACAATATGTGGTAGCATGATTGCAAACTAGATAAAAATTAATAAAAATTGAGAAGATGAATCATTTTGCAGGAGCTCACATAGCATGTCGATCTAGATGCTTTAATACTCACGGTATAATGTATATATCAAGGATATAAATTTGAACTGATAAAAAAAAGTTAGAATATAGATACATTTTGAAGTATACACCGAGACATATTACAAGTATGAATTTAACGATCAAAATCCAGACCCAGACAATTCTTAGAGCTCGTGATAAAACTCAAATTCAAGTTTAGCATGAACTTCCCCAAATCACTTCATTCTTTTTTTCTTTTTTTTTTCTTTTTGAAACCAATCACTTCATTCTTTTTAATACCGTAAATTAACAACGTGTTCCTTATTTCTTGTTTACAGGGTCTGAAACATGCTAGTAAACTACTCTGTAACAACGTGTTCCTTATTTCTTGTTTACAGGGTCTGAAACATGCTAGTAAACTACTCTGAACTTAGTCCAATCAATTTGATTATGAACCAGTTTCTACAGGGTCTGAAACATGCTAGTAAACTACTCTGAACTTAGTCCAATCAATTTGATTATGAACCAGTTTCAGTGTACATGAAATTAAACCGATTAGGAAATTTACGTAGCCCCCAAGTTGAACTCACCATCTGATTCAAAGACGACTCAAATCCACTCAACTCCGAAACCCGATCGAAACCTGACGGTCCATCACTCAGAATCGCCTCTCCTTCTTCTTCACTCCCATTTCCTCCCCTAAAAGCATCAATCCCAACCACCTCCGTCATCTTTTCCTGATCAGAAACCCTGACCCTCCAAACCCCGCCGCCAAAAAACCTTTTTGATTCCGACCCACGTATCAAAATCCGAGCTTTAGACGTGGGTAACCGATGGATTGGATCGAAGTGGAAAGTCTTTGGTGGAGAGAAAGAGATGAGGACCGAAGAAGAGAGCATGTTTTGGGGTTCAAAAGAGCTTTATTTCGAAGGTTTGAGAAGGAGTGCTGAGAGGAGAAGAAGAGCATCTTGAAATAGACGAGGGATTTGGATTGTAAGGTATCTTTACTAGGGGCGTTTTGAATGGCCAGGAGATTGTTTAAAATGTGGGAAATTTTAGAGAGAGAGAGAGACAGGACAAGGAGGACTCTCTGCTCTCCAGTGGGCGCGGAGCCTACGGCGTCCAGCAATTGTTGAGTCATCACATCATCATCATCATCATCATCATCTAAGTTCGATCCGTTTTATTAGGATCTTGGTCAGGTTTATGCTAATCAGGGCAATTTAGCTATTAGTACCTTACATCTTTCATATTTTGAAAGTAACACCACAAATCATTGAAATTGCGCGTTAGCTCTCTCGGTTCTTAAGTCGGTTTGAAATTAATCCCTCAAATCATTGGAACTGCTACAAGGTCTCACATTTCTTAAGCTTTTTTTTTTTTTTTGAAATTTTTGGCCCTACAATCAAGGGGTTAATTGGATCATGGTCACTTTACTTATCACGTAATTGGATGATCATACTTGTGTTTTAAATGCTTGGATATTTGGTCATGTAATTAAGTACTAATTAGATCGGTAATCTGTTCTAATGATTTTTGTCGATTGAATTGATGGATTTTAGTAATGTGGCATAAAATTGTCTCGATCATTTGACATAACGGATTTATTCATGTGTTTACTATCTTGATCACTTAGGGAAATGAAAACTTATAGCATGTCAGACAACTTGTATTGGATGATTATATTGCATTAAACATTTTATACCTGAAAATATCAACTTGTGACATATTGAGTAGGTTGTATTGCTTAAAAATAAATAAAAATATACAGCTTAAAATGACGTAAATGTTAGAATTGTGTAGTAACCTAACTAGTAATTTAGTATTTAATTATATGACTGGTCATCCAAGCAATTAAAACATAGATATGATGGTTTTATTAGGAGATGAACATAGTGACCAATGATCCAATTAACCCCAAATCAAGAGTAGGAACGTCAATTAGAATGATCAAATTGAAATAATTTATGAGAATTGGGAGACCTAATAGCGATTTTAATAATTTGAGGAACTAATTTCCCTAAAAATGCTAGTTCTTATACTCTTACTTTAAAGGACTATTTCAAATGTAACTTAAAAATTGGGAAACCCGAAAGCAATTTCAATGATTTGAAGGACTAATTTACAATACCAACATTTGGGCACTAATTTCAAAATAGAAGAGTTTAGGAGACTAATGTCCAAAAAACATTCTAAAAAACAGGTACATATATAATTGAAGATTCCTTGAATATATTTATTCTTGAATATAAATCCCTTTTTTAAAATTTAGATGAGGTCGGACAATAACCATATGCTCATAAATGAAGCATAAATTTTACGGTTGCTTTCCTTCCATGATTTTTAGGACGTGTTTGGTTCGCTAATATAAGCGTGGAAAACTAAAAAAACCCCTCCACGTCCTCTATTTAACCCTCCACGTCGGGTGAGCAGTTTCCCAACTTTTCATTTCTCCGCTTTGCGTCGGGTGAGCAGTTTCCCAACTTTTCATTTCTCCGCTTTGTTTCGCTAGGGCTAAATAGCGGAACGAACCCAGAAATCGCCGCCACCTCGACTTTTTTCCTCTCCCCCATTTCCCTCCCCATCGGAGTGAAATCGTCAAAAACCAGCGCCACGTCGGATTTTCGGTTTCGTCGTTGATTTCTTTCTTGCGCTATAGTTACCCCATTTGCTCTCCTCCCGCCAGAAACTCCCGCCGCTATCTTTGCCCCTGTATTCGAAGAAATTGGGGGAGGGACATACATCAGTAGGCGGAGACATCAATTTCAACTTTCGACGCATATTAAAACAAACATTATATCTCATAAAAAAATTAACTTACGACGTAAGAGGATTATTGCATTTAGAAGAGGAAGGCTTTGATTTTGAAGAAATCGAAGGCGTTGACGCGTTCAATTTGTTCGAAGTCATGAGGGCTGATGAAGAGGTCGAAGCGAACTCCAAACGAGGGGATGTCGAGCGACGCGTTTCAGATCTGATCTTTCCGACTCTGTTGCTTCCAAAATCAAGGTAAAAATCCCTTTTTTTTTTAATTTTTTTGGATTTTTAGATTGATTTAGATCAATTTTGTGAGAAATTGGAGGAGGGGTATTTGATATTTGGGAGCCTGTTCAGATTTCCACGTTGTAGTTGATTATTTTTTGGAGATTTTAGTTTTATGTGCATGCTATCTGAATAGTTGGATTTGTATCTTGGAATATTTCTATCTGAATAGTTAGATTAATTATCAACTGGTTTGTTCTCATCTCCTCTTCTTGTAGATCTGAGTTCTTATCTGAGTTCTTATCTGAGTTCCCATCTCCTCTAACTGTATTTGATTTAGACGTAAGAAACTATTGAAGACAATGGAAACTTCATCTTCAAATTTGCAAATTGACAATCTTAAATTTGTTTAGTTTAATGACCTTAGAAGAAATGGTCTTTTTGTAAACAGTATGCTCTTGTGTAATTGACAGTCTTAAATTTGTTTAGTTTAATTGACAGTCTTAAATAGTATGCTCTTGTGTAAACAGCACAACATTTAGTTTATCAAGTATTCAATTGTGGCATCACTAAATATAGAGCATGCTTTTTCGAATTTGCTTTTTCTGTAAGACCGTAAACTATTTTGTTAAAATTATTACAGAGTTGATTTGAAATTATTTCTGTGTGTTTAAGGATGTCAATCGAATTTTTTGTATGAGGCATTTTGTTAATAATAGAGGATATGTGTGTGTTTACAAAATTCTTTTAGCAGATCTTAACTTTTGCTTATCACATTAAGTTTCATTATGTTCTGTGCTATAGAGGTTGTTCCTATATGACTTCTCGAAGTATTTTGCATGCAATTAGATTGCCTGTTTTTTGTGAAATTATTCTAGTAATAAAGAGTTATATTAGTAGATCTGTTTGTAGCTATTAATTTTTTTTAAATTCACCTTTTGTATTTGTAGGCCTTAATGATTTAAAGAAAGTCATACTGATTAGTATTTGTAATGGATTAGCATTTTTTATTACTGTAATATTTGTTGCTTAGATATGCAGTATTTGTTATGTCACTGTAACATTTGTTGCTTAGATATGGGGTAATCCATGTTAGTAATTAGTAATTTGTACTTTGTTCAGATCTTGTAACGATTTGACTTAGTTTCTAACAAAAAAATGATTTTTTCATCGTAGATGGATAATGATGGTGATTTTTCCGATGAACAAAGTGTTGTTAATATGATTCAAGGTGCTGCCCTATCCGTTTTAATTATAATTATAACTGTTATAAGGAGAATGCAAGCAAGACGTAAATCAATTCGTAGTGGTTCAAGTAAGGAAAAAAAAGACAAGAGAGAGCTAGAATTGAGCACATTAATCGAATTTATAATGGTTTTAGTGATAGTTGCGTGAATTATATTAGAATGCGGAGTGGTGCTTTTGTTAAATTAGTGACTATAATGAGGAACAATAGTCTGCTAAAAGACTCAAGGAATGTAACAGTTGAAGAACAACTTATCATGACACTGAACATTCTGGGTCATAAATCTAAAAATAGGATTGTCAGATCTCATTTTATAAGATCAGGGGAGACAGTTAGTAGATATTTCAACAAGGTATTACAAGCAATTATTTGCCTGCGTGGACGGTACATGAGACAAGCCCCCAATGACATTCCCCAAGAGATCGTTAACAACCCGCTATACTACCCTTATTTCAAGGTATATCTACACTTTAAGCACATTTAAATGTATAATCAAAGGAAGTATAATTTTAATTTAGGTGTGATACATGTATTATAGGATTGCATTGGAATGATAGATGGAACTCATGTTGATGCAATGCTCCCGATTAATCTTGTTGCACGCTTTCGAGGGCGCAAAGGTGTTACACAGAATGTGCTTGCATGTTGCACCCCAAACAAGTTGTTTACATATGTTCTAGCAGGTTGGGAGGGGTCTGCAAATGATTATAGGATTCTTCAGGATGCATTGTCTAGACCACAACCACATGGATTAAGAGTCTATGATGGTAATTAAATAAAGACTTAACTTAAAATTTATTAATTTTAATATTCAAAATTGACTTAACCCTTTGCTTAATAAAATTGTAGGCAAATACTATCTGTGTGATGCTGGGTACCCAACCATGCCAGGTTTCATCTCTCCATACCGAGGTGTTCGATATCATTTGAAAGAACATTCGGGTGAAACACCTAAGAATAGAAGGGAATTATTCAATCTAAGACATTCTTCATTGAGGTCTAAGATTGAATCTGTATTTGGCACATTGAAGAATCGTTTCAAGATTTTGTGTGCTAAGCCGCATTATCCTTTTCCTATACAAGTAGATATCGTATTGGCATGCACGGTACTCCATAATTTCATTACAACTGTAGATCCCAGTGATGAACTACTCAACAATGACGATATTAGTGAAGACATTGATGGTGAGGAGGCATTCGAGAATGACCCTAATTTAGTTGATTTTACTCAAAATCAAACCCAAAGAGAGCAAACTGAATCAAGAAATGAGTGGAAGACTCTCAGAGATGACATTACTTCGGCGATGTGGGTGGACTATTGTGATAAATATAATCATGGTGTAACCACAGAGACTTGATTTTTATTTTTCTTCTATTTATGCTCATTCACATGTAGTCAATAACTCTATTTACTTTAATGTCGTTCTTTTTTTTAATTCATGTATTCATGTTCAACTTCTTTCAATTATCTAACTTTCTCTATTTTTTAATTCATGTATTCATGTTCAACTTCTTTCAATTATCTAACTTTCTCTATTTAATTAGTAATGGCTGATAATACATCATTGAGTGGGAGAGATAATCAAAAAGGCAAGGGGGTAGTTCCATCACCTTCCCTACAACCTCAACCCTCTCAGTTTGTGCATCACGGCGATGGTGGGTATTTTCCATTTCAGCAGTCGTACTTTGTACAACCACCTCCAGCATACCCGAACATGCCATTCCATGATAACAACTATTATCCAATGCACCATAATCTGGGGTCATATACGAACATGCTGAATTCTCAAACTTTGCCTCCACAATTTCACAGTCCTAATCTGAGTGGCGTGCAGC